AGAGAGAGAGAGAGAGAGAGAGAGAGGTTCTACGCCCATAAAGTGTTAGTCTCAGAACTCACGGGGCAGTTCTACATGGCTCTGTAGGGTCATCGTGAGCTAGAACTGACTTGATGGGGGTGATTTGGTTTGGGTTTGGGGGAGGAGTTGCCCCATTACGGAAGTTGGTAACCCCACTACGCCTACAGTCTTTATGTTGGCGAGTTATTTTACTGCTAACAGTCTAGCAAACACGGCAATGCTGAGCTGCCGCCTTGTTTGGTTCCCCTTGATATGATGGGCGGGGTCTCGCCCTAGTACCAGGCCGCGCACATAAATGGCCGCTGACTTACGACGGAAGCTCCACTGCAAAGGGCCATCTTTGCAGTACACAGTGCCTGCCTGAGCACTCCCCTCACCCCGTCGGTCTCTAAGGGGGCATTTGCATTAAACGTATCGGATTGAAGGCTCTGCACACTTAAAATCTGTGCCCTTTACTGTAAGAAGAAAATGGGATCAAAAGACGATGGAAATTTCCATGGCCTCTTTGAAGCACCCGTACCTATACATTGATATGTCTGCAGCACAGGCAAATATGCACGTGGAAAGATGCGATTTCCACGTGAAGTATTTGTGCTGAAACTTTCCTTGGAGATCAACTGGATTCCTCCGTGAAAACCCCAAGTCAGAGGCAGGAGCAGCAGCTGCCTTGAGTGAAGCGTCGAGTGCTTGCTCCCGGCTTCACTGACGTGATTTAATCAAATCCCCACCACAAGGAATTACGACCCCCCTTTCGAGGCATCCTTGGGTGGGGTGCAGATGGTTAGGGTCTGCACGACCGCCCAAGGCTGGCTGCCTGAATCCAACTGGGAGAGGGGGCCCGCCATGAGTCCCAATCGACTGGATGACGGCAGCTCTGAGCAACCAACCCTTGTCACAGACGTGGAGACAGCCTCACAGCAGTTAGTGCCTTGATGAACAAGATCACGTCCCAAACCAAGCTCACGGCCATCGAGCGAAGGCTGCCTCACAGCGACCCCACTGTGGGCTTCCAAGACTGCAACTGCCGACAGGAGTAGAAAGCCCAGTCTTTCTCCCATGGAGCTGCTAATGGTTTTGAACTGCTGACTGCGTGGATCACAGCCCAATTTGTACCTGCTACTAAGATCACATGGTAAGTATGCTTTGTCTCAGCCCTCATCTTATGGACACTGACACAATTTTTCACCAACTAGTTCCTGTCTCCTTTGTCCCCGGGACTACCGTGACAAAGCACCCCTGATGTGTTCTCCTCTCATCTGCCTCCTTCTCCCATCCAGGTCTCCAAAAGGCTAAGAGGCTCAAGGCTCTGGTCTAGCTTCCTTTTTCTCTCTCTTCCCCACCCCCAGCAGTGACTTCATGAGTTCAAATACCATCTCAATGAAAACCATGCCCTTATTTTTCTACAACTACCCTTAAGATAAACCAACTATCACATGCACTCCATCTATAATCTACCTTGAAGTAGATCCTACACTTGAAATACTTTTTGCCCTTCCCTGCAACCTCAGTCAACATCTCCTAAATTCTCCCTACCTGACATGACCCCTCCTCCCTAAAGCCTTCGAGCTTTACCCACGACCAGAAGGACGTAGTCTCTTTCGTCTTTCTCTGAGTTGTACCCTCATTCCCAAGAGTTCATGCTGCACGTTAATACAGACAGTCTAACTGAAACCAGGAATACTTTCGCTTCAGACAGTGTGCTGTGAAGGGTGCTGTGTTGTTGTTTTCAGCGTTTCTAGGGCAAAAGCAAGGAGGTTCAATCTGGTTGTTAATCAAGTTAAAGCAGGACCTTGAACGCCTCTCAGCATGCCTGATGTGGATGCTTTCCCTTCTCTTTCCCTGCATCCCAGGTGAAAACACACTGAGCCCCAGCCACACAAAGCACTCGCCAGCACCCACTAAAACAGCTACATCTTCGATGTAATGGGGAGTGAACAGAATTGACTGGTCGTAAAACATGCTTTCCTCACTATTAGACAGTAAGGGCACGGCATTGTTTTCCTCCTTGCTTTGAGGCGCAAGCAGCAGAGAGCTGGGATTTTAGGATGACCACGGTGATCCACCTCCTTTTGGAAAATGCTCAATGATCAATTGTAAGAGGGAAAGAAACGTGTTTCTAATGATTCCCAAACCAAACGCACTGCAGAGCTTGAGTTATGATTGGCATCACTATGATTTTTTGGTAGATCGATGGTTCTCAAATTTTCCTACCAACATTCTCCTATGAGCAGGGCAAGAAAAGGGACCTGGGGGGTGTGTGTGTGTCTATCACATTGCTATTGATTCTTGTGTTGCCTCTAAAGCAGCGGTTCTCAACCTGTGGGTCGCGACTCCTTGGGGGTTGAGCGACCCTTTCGCAGGGGTCGCCTGATTCATAACAGTAGCAAAATGAGTGATGAAGTAGCAA